AGAGAGAGAGATCTTGTGTGTGTGTGTGTGTGTGTGTGTGTGTGTGTGTGTGTGTGTGTGTGTGTGTGTGTGTGTGGTGGGGCTGTTATGATGCCTGGTAGTCAATAATAATAGTGATAATCGTCCTGATGGCGGATACGGCGGAGTCTGAAAAGGGAACACTACTCGGAGTGGCAGAGGCCTTAGAAAATGAAGGGCAAATTGGGGAATAAAAAAATGCAGATGAGGAAGTGAGAGAGGAACCTAAGAGAGGTTAGGGAACTGTCCACAGCCACGGCCGTGCGGGGTTTGGAACCGGGGAGTCCAGCTCCACAGTTCATTCTCTTCACCTCTCTGGCCTACGGCTTCCGGTCTGTGCTGCCTGGGCTCCGGGACGCCCCAGGCCATCAAGTGGAGAGCAAGGGGTCAGTGGGCTGGGCCAGGAGAGAGAAGGGACAGGCCAGGAGCTAGGAATGGGAGGGCGCAAATCGGCCAGCTCCTGTGCTGGCTCAGCAGAAGTGTGCCCGAGTGCCTGCCACGCCGATCCCCATGGTCAGGCAGACGGAAGGTGTGACAGCAGCAGGGGCCAGGGGCCAGGGCCGGAGCAGGCAAAGGGCCAGGCTGGCGTCTCCAGATGGCGGCAGAGGAAACAAAGGGTCAATGGGCAGGACAGGAGCCCTGGCCGCAGCTCTGCTCTTGGAGCCTCAGTTTCCCTGTCTGTAACATGGAGGACGGAGGGTCACGCTCTGATAGGATCCTATTTTCACGGTGTAACCTTGGGCAAGTGCCAAGCCTGTCTGTGCCTCAATTTCTTCATCTGCCAAATGGGGTTAATAAATAAGAATGATTGCTTTTGGGTTGACCATCAAGACCGAGTGAGATCGTGCAGTGCCCGGCACTCGGTGGGTCGATGAGAGGCATCCTTGGGTGTCGTTCACTGGGTTTCAGAATTCATGGGCAAAGGGGCCTTCTGTGGCCATATGTAAGTCACTGCCCACTGTGTTCCCTCTCCCAGTCCTGCTTGTCTCTGACCCCTTCGTTCCTAGGTGGTCCTTCCTAATGAGAAATAATTAAGCAAGAATAACTTTTTATCAAATGCTGGCTACATGCCAGGCATTGAGCCAAGAGCCCTGCATGGAACATGTCATTTAGTCCTCAAAGGACTCTTCAGGGTGTGGGTACGATTATTGCTCCCCATTTTAAGAGACACAGAAACCGAGGCAGGTAGAAGTGAGTTCAGGACCGGTTTCTAAATCGGGTTTTTCATCCTTCCATCCATCCATCCATCCATCCATCCATCCATCCATCCATCCACTCATCAGACCATTTTTGTGCACTACTAAGTTCTAGAGGCAGGGTAAACATAATAGGCATCGTTGCTGCCTGCTGGAGCTGACATTCTAGCGGGAGACAGACCTTAAACCATATTTATTTGGAGGAACCCGAGGATAGGGAACAGTTGGGTTGATTCTTCCCAGGAGCAGTACCCTGAAAGGATGCGTTCACTTAAGGTTGTGACCAAGCGCAGCACAGCTGTTCTACCAGGTGCCGAGAGAGAGCAGCTGGATGACTCTTTGTCTCGAGGATGTGTGGTGTAGGGGCTGAGGGACTACCTTAGGGAAAGGCCCATTCCGAGAAGGCGACATGGGTACTGAGACCTGAAAAGCGAGGGCAGGGCATTCTGGCGGGGGAAGCAGCAAGTGCAAAGGCCCTGAGGTGGGATCACGTGTCACGTGTGGAAGGAGGCTGGTGTGGCTGGAGCCCCCAGCATTGGGGGTGAGTGGGCCAGCCAGGGAGATGAGGGAGGAGTATGGTGGTGAGATTGCCCAGGGCTGTGTGTGCCTGTGTCTTCCTCCAGGAGGGGATAAAATGATGACTTGCCAACTTATGACTCCCCCACAGCTGGTGGGATGTGGGGTGGGGGTTTACTTTTTAGATGGCTGGTGCATCCAGGGTTGGCGTATTTTCACTGTTAACCTCAGAATCCGGCTGCTGTTGTAATTTTAGGAGCCTTCCCGTGGGTCATCCCAGGGCCCTTTGGGGAGAAGGGATGGGCCGGCATGGGCTGGGAACCCAGACTGAGTGCCTCATAAAGCCAGGTGGGCTCCAGACGCTTGCCTGGGCCTCCCAGGTTGTAGAGCTGGGCCTGCCCGCCACCTGGGCCCCAGCTGTGCCTCCTCCGCTGGCCCCGCACAGCTGGAGGGCGGCTGCTCCGGATGTGGCCTCTCTCGTGTATGGCGGCCTCTCCTGCCAGGGCTCTGAGCCCGCTGGCCCTCCAGACACTGGCCTGGGGTCCCACTGGAGAGATTTGTCTTCCTTGAGTCAGCCCGGGGCAGCCAGTGCAGTGAAATACCGAAGCCAGCGGCTCCCCCAGGCCCTCTGCTCTGCTTCTGAGCCCCACTCCTGGCCACTGAGTCCTGCAGCCTCTGGCATTCACTTCTCTAGCTGCGAAATTCCCTCCCGGGCCCCTCTGATGCAGGCGGAGGCCAGAGCAGACGAGGCCTTCTGGTCTGGCTGTGCCAGGCGCGTGCCTCCTGGAACTTCTCACTTTGGGAGTTGTTTAAATGAGAGGCCATCTGAATGAAATTGAAGCCCATTCACTTGGCTACACGCTCCTGCATGATTTGGCCCCTGATGACAACACCTTTAGCCAACCGACAAATATTTATTGAGCATTGCTATATTCCAGGCCCTTAGGATTCAGCAGGGAACACAGCAGATCAAACTCCTGCCCATAGAGAGCTGCCCTTCTCACTCCCCCTGCCCTTGCCGGCCATGCTGCCTTTCGTGCTCCAAGCTTCATCCCACTTCTGGACCTTTGTCTGTGCTGTTGCCTGTCAGTCCTACCCCGCTACACCAGACCTCTCCCCTTCCCACACACATACACAACTCTCACACTTTGCCCAGATGTACTGAGATTATTTGGGTTGTAAGAAACGGAAACAGATTCTGGCTGGAATCTGTTCGGAAGGCTGTGGAGCACCCAGAGAGTCAAAGAGAGACCCAGAAGCCAGGCCTTAGAACTGGCACCGGAAACTCCCAGGTTCTTTGGAGCAGCAGCTGAGGGGCGCTGTCTTCAGGGAGAGTCAACGCCAGCCGTTCCCTGTCCTTGGGTTCCTCCACTCAAGGTCATGTTCCTGGGACAGAGAGCATCTCATTGGCCTCACATGGACCATGAGCCCTCAATCTGGCCTGGCGGAGAGGGACGGGTGGCAAACCTTGAGGGACTGTCTCACCAAGACGGCATTCCACATGGGAGAATTGGCCCCAATGGCAACGGGCCTGGGACACTGGCCACGACTGTCATTCTTCAATTTGGGGTTGGATGTCACTTTCTTGAGGAAGCCCTGAGATGAGTCAGATCCTGGTGATTTAAATGGTTCCAGTTAAGAATGTTTTCAGTTGCGGGGACAGAAAACCCAACTAAACGGTGGCCTAAGCAAATAATCGCGTTGCAGAACAGTCACGCCACATGTTGAGAACCTTTCAGTTTCTATTCCGTCATCCTCAGCAGTGTCTGCCACCTTGGTCACGAGTAGCCTCACAGCCCCATGCATTACTTCCTTGCATGATTATATCCCAGGCAGGGAAGGTGGTATTACTTTTCCTTTTTATTGGGGAGGAAGGGATTTTTCAGAATACCCTGGTAGGTTTTCCCAGATGTCTCACTGGCTAGAGCTAGGTCAGTTAGGAATTGAACTTGATTTTGACCAGAGATCTAGCTACAGTGTCTGAGAAATTAGGGGTTTATTTTTCTGTAGTAAGAAGCCCAGAGATTGGTGGTCCAGAGCTACTAGTGTGGCCTCATGATATCTTTGGGGACCACACTATTTCTGCCCTGCCATCCTTAGTGTGTTTCTATCCTCGAGATCACACGTGGTCTAGGATGACTGCAGGAGCTCCGGCTATCACATCTTTGTTCCAGGCGGGAGAAGAAAAAGGAAGAGCCAGGGACAAAGGGGGTTTTGCTGAAATTCCCTACCAGTACTTTCTGCTTCCATCTCATTGGCCACGTCTAGCTGCAAGAGAGGCTGGGATTGTGGTTGTCCAAATAGATGCATTGCTGTCTACAACAGTTAAGGTTTCAGTACTGGCAGAAGAATCAGGAAAGGGTTGTTGCTAGGCAACCAACAGCATCTGCCACTTAAAATCTCCATGTCTCCTTGGTGGTGTTTATCACACAATATGCAGTTGTTTGTCACAACTACAGTAAAATAATATTCTTATTTGGGGCTTATTAATAAAAATAACAAATGTGTTTTGGGGGTACCAGAGTAAAAACAGACACAAATCCCTGCCCCTGTGGAGCCTCCGCGCTAGGGGTGGTTGTGGGCTGTTCCGCAGCCTCGCACAGCCCCTCTGGTGCCAGTCCGCCTAATGCCCTCCCTTTCTGTTCCGTTCCAGGGAGATTGCCAGACGCGGGAGGAGGCGGTGGCGCTTGGCGTGGGTTTGTGTAACAACAGCTTCATGCACCATGGTAAACCACCCCTTCCCCTCCGCCTGACCTCCCGGGGTCGGGGGTGGGGGTTCTGTCCTGGGACAGAAGAGCTGGCGGGGACTCTGGTCCCTGATGCAGTTCACGGGGAGGGGAAACTGAGGCCCAGAGAGAGCAAATGGTGGGCTGGAGGCTGCCCAACGTGCCCACGGGTGAACCCAGGCTAGATGTGGAGTCTGCGAGCCTGTGGACCACTGGGGGTTTGGAGGCCTCGTGAGTCTCTCCGCCCCCTTTCCTCCTCTGTTCTGCCCTTACTGAGAGGTTATTTTCAGTGTCAAGTGGGAACCAAAATGACGGTAAACCTTGGCTGGAAAAACGGATTTGAGGTCAAATCCATGGGCTTCCTATGCCTTCCTCCTGGATGGGACGTGGCCTCCCAGGGTGGGCAGTGAGGCCCAGGCCTGGCCCACGGGCTCCCATGGAGAGGAGAGGAGCGGGCTCTGTGGGGACAGAGGACAGGCTGGTTATGGGCACGAGAGGGAGGCAGGGCCCTTCCGGGGACGTCTGTGCCACTATTCCTGGCCCTCACCGCTCAGATGAGTCACTCTTCCCACGGCGGGAAGCATGTGAGAGGTGAACTGTCTGAGACGATCCTGGGGCAGGGAGCTGGGGCGAAGGAGGAGAAAAATGGTTCCGTTGATACCACTTTGTATTAAAACAGAAGTTAACACTCTGTGCGCCTGGCTTTCTAAGCACTCTCCATGCGTTAATTAGTTTAATCCTTGTGACGATCTTTTTTTTGGCAATAATCCTTTATGTTGGTATTAATATCATCCCTGTTTATTAACGAGGAAATAGACGCTCAGACAGTTAAGAAACTTCATTAACGTCACACGCCAGGTAGGAGCCGGGATTTGAACCCAGGTCGGCCGGCTTCACAGGCCACAGGCTGCACCACTGAGCGCTGGGGCCTTCCCTCGCCGGCCCTGGGGGAGCCCCAAGTCTCCGACCCTTTCTCTCCTTGAACCCCACCAAGGGTCCTTTCTCCTGTCACTTGCCTGGCCCTTGCCTGGGGTGCCCTTCCCTGCCTGCTTCCCTCTGTCTCTTAGTGTTTCAGTTCACGCCTCCCCAGAGAGGCCTCGCAGCCACCCGGGCTGAAATAGCTCCTCTCCCTCGTCACTGTGTGTTCCTAGCTCAGACTCGCGTTTCTTCAAGGAGCAGTTGTCTCCCTGTTAGGCAGATTCCACGCTTCCCTTCTGTCTTCGTCCATATGCTGAGTGGGCACCTTGTGCGTGTAGGCAATGCGCTAGGCTCTGGGGACAGAGTAGTGAACCAGACAGATAGAAGTCCCCCCTCGGGAGCGCACGGCCTTGCGTGTGTCTGTGCACGTGCATTGTGCGTGCGAGCGTGTGTGAATCAGACGACAATGAAGTCAGTACATCTTCTGGAATATTATGAGCATCTGAAGAGGGTTTGGGCTGTTACTCTGCGGAGATGGGAATCTTGGGAGGCTTCTGAGCAGAGAAGGGACGTGCCCGTCTCAGGGCTGTACAGGATCCCCCTGGCTGCCTGTGGAGAATGTCTGTCGGGGTGAAGGCAGAAGTAGGGAAGCCAGTGAGGCGACTGTGCTAGTTCAGAAGAAGGACAATGTGGATTGGGCCCAGGTGGCGGCAGAGGACAGGCGAGACAAGACTGTCTTTTGGCTGTTCCTCCCCCGGGCTTCTGCTCTGTGTTCTAACTCAGAGGACATCAAACTTTCTCTGTGAAGTCCCAGACAGTAAATATTGCAGGCTTTTCGGCCCACACCCTCTCTGTCACATCTCAACTCTGCCATTGTAGCATAAAAGGAGCTACAGGCAATACATAAACAAATGTTCGTGGCTGTGTGCCAATAAAACTTTATTTAGGAAAACAGGTCGTAGGCCATAGTTTTCTGCTTCTGGTCTAGCCGCTGGATTTATTGTCCCTTCACCAGGGTGAGAGGTGTGCCAATCATGTGAAAAGCCCATTTCCTGCATTGTAGCCAGCAGGCCTAGTTCTAGGCCTGACTCAGCTGACTCCCAATAAGCCCATGTGCCTCTCTGGGCCTCAGTTTCCCCATCTTTATGCTCGAGGCCTTGCTGTCCCCCTCTGAGCTCAGCATGCCCACAGCTCTGGGGTTCGGATTTACTCCCCAGCTGAGATGCCCAGCCAGAGCAGCCTCGGTCATTCCCGTTCATTGGCCCTGTCTCACCAGAGTCCCTCATTCCCAGAAGCCACTCTGTTCCTCATGAGGCCCACTGACAGCTTCATCCCTCCCGCCAATCAGCTGGGCAGAACCTCTCATTTGTGGGTGAGAGTAATTAGGGGCCCACCCCAGCTGTTATTCCGGGAAGGCTGCTGGCAGAGGACATTCGCAGGGGACGACTCTCAGGCAATACCAACACTGTCGAGGCCCCTCGGGGAGAGAAATTGCAGGGCGCGGCTCCTGCTCCCCTAATCCCTGCCACAAACTCAAAAATAGGCTAAAATAGGAAAGGGCCAAATCCTAGGGTTGTGGCCACTGCGAAGTGCCCGTCAGAGTGCAGAGAAGAGGGTGGGGTAGGGCCTTCGTGGCACCTCCCGAGGCATCTGACCTGAGCTCATGGGGCCCTGAGGTGTGACGAGAGGCTGGTGGTCTAGCCCTCTCTCTTTAGGCACTCACAGGGAAACCGAGGCTCACTGGTTAATCCTTGCAGCAGCCCTGAGAAGTTGGTGCTGCTGTTATCCCCACAGAGGAGGAAACAGGCTCAGAGAGACTGAAAGGGCCTGAAGTTGGGAAGGGGCTGAGCAGGGCTTTGATCCTGGCTCTGTGCCCATCTCACGAAGCCTGGCCAGCGGCCTCGGCCGAAAGATGGAAGTGGCAGGACCTCACCTGGCTGAGCTCCTGGACTCAGGGATTCCAGCCGTTTCCCCAGACAGTCACTAAACAGAGACATAACATCATGGTGCTGCTTCCCACTCTTTGAGCCTCATGTTTACAGGGAAGGTAAAGCCAGCCGGCCCCCTGGGGCCTGGCTCCCCAGCTCTGGGGAAAGCAGCAATTTGTGTGTCTGCTCTCTCAAGAGGTAAGAGGGGTGGCCTGAGAGAGATGCTTCCAAACAGCTAGATGTCCTGGGAAAGGAAAGAGAAAGAAAGGGTGGCCGCCTGCTGCTTCTCTTTAGTCACCAAATCGTCAGCCTCTGTCTTCAGGGGTGGCAGGAATGTCGTGAGGCTAAGGCAGCTGGTTTTCCCACCCTCAGGGGCCCACTGACTTCAGGCAGTTGCCTTTACCAACCTGAGCTGGTTCCACCTTCATGTAGTTCGTTCCTGCCTCCGACTCAGAGGCCAGGCTGGCCGGCACCGTGAAAAGGAGCAGCCTGCCGGCTCTGCGAGCTTAGGCAGTTTACTTACCTTCTCTGGGCCTCTGTCTCCCCGTCTGTCAAAGGGGTGCAGCAGATTCTTTCTTGTCTGAGAAGTAAATGAACTGAAGTTTGTATCTGCAGTGTACCTGGCACTTAGTATAATTTTAATCCACAGGGACCAGATCACATACTGTTTGTTCCTGGTTATTTTACTCCTTTTCCTGGCATGTTTTAGAAGAGGTCACACAACTATTTCTGGAAAGGCCCAGACAGTAAATACGTTAGGCTTTGTGGGCCGTACAGTCTCTTGCAGTTATTCAACTCTGTCATTGTGGCACAAAAGCAGCCCAGACAATATATAAATAAATGGGTATTTCTATGTGCCAATAAAACTTTATTTATAAAAAGAGGTAGTGGACCGGATTTGGGCCTGAGTTAGCCAAGCCCCATGATCTAAAGTGTCTCCTGGTGGTCTTTTTCTGATTATTAGTGAGGTTGAGGTCCTTTTCACATACTTGTCGCCCATTTGATTTTCCGCAGATGTAAATTGCCCATTCATATCCTTGGCCCATTTACCTATGAGCTTGCCAGCTTTCTGTGGTTGATTTGTGTGAGTTTCTTGTATATTCTAGATAATTATTCCTTGTTGGTTTTAGATATTATAGTTCTTCTTAAATCTGCCGTCTGCTATGGCCTTGTAATTGAATGGAAGTCCTTAATCTTATTATAGTGCTTTCTGGGGAGTCTTGTACATAAACTCTTTTTCTACCCTAGGACAAAGAAAGATATTCTATATTTCGTTTGGTGAGCTTTAGTTTTCTTATTCACGTTTAGATCTTTAATTCATCAGGAGTTTATTGCTGTATGTCGTGTGAGGTAGGGATACAATTTTATTTTTTCCCCTTAAGTGGGTCAGTTTTCCCTATTATTTGTGGAGTACTCCACATGAGCATTTATCATCCCTCATAGACTAAGTTCCCATAAACACACAGTCCTCTTATATGATTTCTGTTTTCTTCCACAGGTTCTTTGTCTGTTTCTGTTGTAGTTCACACTGTTTTTGTTACTATGGCTTTGCAATATGTCTTTATAGCAGGTGGAGCAAGTTCGGATTTTTCAAGAGGAATCAGAAAGCCGGAATTCTATGTGAAATATTCTAATATGTTAGTATTGGCACACGAGTCCAATAAATAAAACACCATGTCAGCCAAATCAAACTTGTCCAGGGGCTAGTTCAGGCCTATGGCTGCCAGTTGGCAGATGCTGCTGAAACCTTCCCGTGTGAACCTGACCGTGTGCTTGTGTGTCTGTGGGTTCGCAGTGCTGGAGAAGAGCGAGTTCAAGGATGAGTCTCAGTACTTCCGCTTCCACGCCGACGAGGAGATGGAGGGAATTAGCAGCAAGAACAAGCAGCTCCGCAATGACTTCAAGCTGGTGGAGAACATTCTGGGCAAGCGCCTGCTGGTAGGAGCAGAACTGAGCTGCTGCAGCTTCCTTCCCAGACTCACCTAGAGGTCTGGGAGCTGGGCGACCTTCAGATATGGCTAGAGAAGCTGAGCTCAGCTTGGAGCACCCAAGAGTACAGGGAATTCTAGGTGATGGCTGGCAACACTGGCAGGAGAACATGTCACTTCCTTGGCCAAGACTACCCTCCTCTTCACGGGAGAGATTGGGCTTGCTGGGCTGCCTTTTTTTTCCTCTCCATCTCCCCTTGTCCACCCCACATCCCGGCCTAGCATTGTGCGGAGAGGACGGCCTCCCGAGATGACTCATCCTGCAGAACAAAGCCTTAGGCCGGCACCCTGTCCATATTCAGTTGCTGTAAATATCCTTGCAGTTAAAGTGGAACATTTACCAGCCTGTTCAGATATTTTACCAGTCTAGCCTACCAAATCCTGTTTCTCTACTTACTGATGAGCAGCAGCCTTAATCTTAATGCCTGGTTCACCATGGGCAATAAAGAGAGAGGCTCTGAGAAGTTGGTTCTCTTGCCATCTCTGGGCCAAGATCTGAATAATAGGAAGACAGCTTTGTTAACTTCTCTCCTGTAGTACCTGTGGGGGCTGCCGTTCCTTCTAGTTCCCATTTCTCCCGATAGAAAGCCCGCCAATGGTCCCCATCACACTTAGGATAAAATCTAGTCTCTCATGGTCTGCGGGACTCTTCCCGCGTCTCCAGTGTGATCTCCTGTGCTCGCTCCTCCCTCACTCCACCCCAGCCACACGGATCTGCTTTCTTATCTTCTAGTACCTTGGGTCCGACTCAGGGCCTTTGCATGTGCTGTGCAAATGCTTTCTCCACTCAGAGTTCTGTTTTCTTACTTCATTTAGGTCTTGGCTCAGATGTCACCTCCTCTGCCTCTCCAGCCCCTTGCCACACCATGTTCTGTCCCTTTAAGGGCCTTATTTTAATTCAAACATCATACATTCCTTGTGTCACATTCTGTACATTTCTGTATTTCTTTATTTGTTTGTCATCTGTTGTGCAAATGCTTTCTCCACTCAGAGTTCTGTTTTCTTACTTCATTTAGGTCTTGGCTCAGATGTCACCTCCTCTGCCTCTCCAGCCCCTTGCCACACCATGTTCTGTCCCTTTAAGGGCCTTATTTTAATTCAAACATCATACATTCCTTGTGTCACATTCTGTACATTTCTGTATTTCTTTATTTGTTTGTCAAATAAAGAAATACAGAAATGTACAGAATATGACACAAGGAATGTTCCCTCCCCCACTAAGATGGCTGTATAAGGGCAGGAACTGTCTCTTTCAACACTATTTCAAGCACTCAGTAAAGTACCTGGCCCGTATATCAGGCAGCAGCTCAGCAAATATTTATTGAACGAATAAATGCATATCCCAATAACCCCCCCCACCACCAAACCCCAAAACCTCCCAACCTGCCTGCTGTCATCCTGCAGTGGGGAGGGATATCTTCTCCCTAAACTCCCTTCCTGTCCTCAGATTCTCAGTGGCTGGATACCTTTGGGTCTAATTGATTCATTAAGCCAGTAATTTTTTTATTGAGTACCTACAGTATGCCAGCAGATGGACAGATGGTGGTACATAACTGAGGAGACTCTGTCCTCAGGTTGGGAGGAGAAAGGGGAGCTAGGCAACGGGAGGTAAACATAGGTGATCAGCACAAGGCCTAGGTATGAACCAGGTGGTGTGTCTTCACTTGACAGATAAGTACTGAGCACCCACTGTGTTCTGGGCACTGTTTGTGTTTGTGTTTGATTCTCTCCTGCCCCACCCCCACCCCATGTAGTTCTGGGGCATGAGGAGCTGGCAGGATCACAGTCCCGTGGGGGCCAAGGTGGGGCTGGCTCCAGGATCCCCCCTCCAACCCCGTCACTGCCTCACCGAGTCTCTGCTTCTTCGGGCCCACAGATCCTGCCCCAGGAGGAAGACTATGGCTTCGACATGGAGGAGAAGAACAAGGCCGTGGTGGTGAAATCAGTACAGAGGGGCTCGCTGGCTGAGGTGAGGCTGCTCGGAGGGGCCGCCCTGGCAGGTGCTGAGAGTGTGGGGCATCTCTCTCCACGTTCCTCAAGGAAGGCCAGCTCGGCACAGCCTGGAATGTTCCTCCTCACTCATTGCCTTGTTTGCCTTCTCTGGGGGAGCTGGAGCAGACCCCTCGGCTCAGGGCTGTCCTCTCAGTGTGTGTGCCACCAGCCCCCTCTGCTGGCCCTGTGGCCAGGTGCAGGAAGAAAGCAGAAGGTTTCTGAATCAGCTGTGATCATGGAAAAAGCTAATCATCAAGTGGCCTAAGACAAGTTTGTTGCTTTGTCATGGACACAAGGTCTGGAGAGAGAAGGAGAGCGAGTCTGTGTCAGGCCAAATGTTCAGCCCCAAGGCCTCTCAGCTGCTCCTGGGGGGTGGAAGTGGGTGGCAAGGGGGACTCACCACCTTGTCCAGGCGCCCACTTGTCCCCCTGTGGTGGTTAGGAATGCTTTTGGCTGCAAGGGGCCAGATGCTAGCCTCACAGTGGCTGGAGCCACAGGGCTTCATTTTTCATGACGTAGTGGTTAGGAGGACGTGGCTGAGAGGTTTGGTTCGGGGTCAACATCTCTTCAACTTTCTTGGCCAAGTCCTCATGGTCACAGGGAGGCTGCCCCAGTTCAATGCCTCGTGTCCTTGGACAGGAGGGCAGGGTCCAGGGGCAGGGGCAGGGGCAGAGTCCAGGGTCCAGGGTCTGGGGCAGGGGCAGGTGCAGGCGCAGGCGCAGGCCCAGGCCCAGGCCCAGGCGCAGGCCCAGGCCCAGGCCCAGGCCCAGGCCCAGGCCCAGGCAGCTTCTCCTCAAAGGAAACCGTTTTCCCATTCGCGCCTCCAGCAGGCTCCCCTTAATGGCTCGCGGGCCAGAATCAGGTCTCACCAGCCCCTTAACAGCTCATCACAGAGGGGACTGGGGTTGCCCTGCGGCGGGTGGGGGGTGTCACTCCGGTCATGCTTGGTCTCTGGGGCCGGCCCTGTGCTGCCTGGATGCATTCGAGGCTCCTTCGTGAGAAGAGAGGCGGCTAGTGACCCGGCGTGTGTGTCCCCGGCCCCAAGCTGGCCGGCCTGCAGGTGGGGCGGAGGATCTACTCCATCAACGAGGACCTGGTGTTCCTGCGCCCTTTCGCCGAGGTGGAGTCCATCCTCAACCAGTCCTTCTGCTCCCGCCGCCCCCTGCGCCTCCTGGTGGCCACCAAGGCCAAAGAGTGAGTGTCCCCAGGGGCGGGGTGTCCCCTCAGCTTGAGGAGTTGCCTGATCGCTGGGGGCTGGGAGTGGGGCTGAGCTCTCTGGTTCCCTGGGTGGGCTCGTTCTGCGGGCACGTGACACAGTGGCGCTACCTTTAGTCATTCAACAGACGTGTATTGAGCGCCCACCATGTACCAAGTGGTGTTTCAGGCTCTGGGGATCCAGCCACGTCTGGATGGATACATTTCTACCCTTCGGGGATCTCAGTCTGGTTGGAGGGTGGAGCAGGAGTCAGACACTAAAACAAATAAAATAGAGACCTACTGACCCAGGGGATAGTCAGCCCGGAGTAGCATATAAAGCTGGGGAAGGAGACGGGCTGTGTGGAGGGATGGCAGCCAGGTTGATGCCACCAAGAACTGAGGTGAAGATGTGAATGAGGTAAGGGATTGGGGCGTCAAGGGGACTTCTGGAGGAAGAGGGTTCCAGGCAGAGAAAACGGCAGTTTCGGGCAAAGGCCCCAGGGTAGAGCCATGCCCTGAGTGTTTGAGGAACATCAGGAACCCGATGGGCTGGGTCAGACCGGCTTAGAGGGAGGCGTGTGCGATGAGGTCAGCCAGACCGTGGGGGGCCTTGTGTCTGCGGTTAGGACCATGGAGCCGCTGGAAGGTTCTGAGCAGAGGCGAGGCGTGGTCGGATGTCTGCTCCAGCAGAACCCACCTGGCTGCAGGTGGAGACTGGGTTGTGGGGGGCACAGGTGGACGCAGGGGAGTGGTGGGGAGGTTCTGGAGCGGCCTGCGTGGCAGCAGGGGGGTGGTGAGAAGTGGCTGGATACCAGATATAGGTACAGGGAGAAGCGTTTTCTATTTTAAAAATTGTACATTTGGTTTCCACTTCTCTCTTCTATTTAAGGCAAATGCTCCCGGTTTTCTGTTGACAGGAGTGATGGAAAGTTTTAAATGTGATTATTTCAGTAAAAAGGCAAGCCAGTTTATGGAAAATGATTGATAGTTTGGTTAGTACGTGGAAGTGGCAGAAATCACCAAAGTGGAAGATTCCTGCTTTTAAAGTTCTGGAAACAGCTGGGGTTTGAGATCAGGCTCCCAAGATGGCAGATGGGGATGGGAGGGACGGACCTGAGGACCAGTGTGGGGGACACACCCTCAAAGGGGAAGAAGACAGCTGCATTAATGATACCCCCCGCCCCGGGCTGCTCTGGCGTCCCACCTGCAGAATGGCCAAGAGCTGGGCTTTCAAACCGTGTTCCCTAGGGGACGGTGCGGGCATTTTTCTAGAGTCAGCCCCGAGGTGTGCTGGGACCCTTCTCACCCTTCCATCTGTGATCGTCGATCGAAATATTCAGTGGCTGAGGTGCTGGTCTGGCCACCAAAAGGCCTCCTCTCCCCGGGAGGGCGATGGAGAAGGTAGAGGGCGATGTGGAGTTCCCGTGCGTGGACCGAAGCTCCAAGGGCAGGCTGGTGGTTCGGCTTAACCGGAGGTCCGGGCATGGGCTTCAGTTAAGTGAGGTTTCTCTGTATACTTGGTAGCTGGAAAGCCTGGAACTGCTACTATTTTGGGCTGGATTTCCCAGAAGTCCGGGAGGCAGGGGCTCCCGGGGTGGCCCTCTGGGTTATTGGGAGTGATGCTGCTTTTCCTGATGGCTGCTTCTGCCTGGTGCAGGATCGTCAAAGTCCCCGACCATCCAGAGGCTCTGTGCTTCCAGATCCGTGGAGCTGCCCCGCCATATGTCTACGCTGTGGGGAGAGGTGAGTGGGAGCCTAACAGATGGAGAGGGCAGCTTGCCGAGGCAGGTCTATGTGTGTAGTTGGAGCTCAGAGGAGCCCAAACCATTACCACCAGGCGTGTGCCTCACAGTGCACCATTAACACCTCCTTTCTTTGCTGGAAGCCACAGCTTGCAAATGCAAATGCCTGTTGGGGGTCAGGCAGTTACAGCCAGCCGGGTAACAGCAAGACAATAGGGAGTGGTGAGGACTAAGGTGAGAAAAAAAATACCCGCTCACTCTAAAAGGGGCAGGTTTTCTTCATCTCGAGCTCATTATTGTCAGGCAGGAATGTGGGCCCACTCTGGTCAGATTTGATTTTTTAAAAGAGAAGCCAGAAATGGGAATTTTGACCACACTTCTGTGGCCAGATCCAGCCTGTTGTCAACAGTTGGAGATGTCTGCTTTCTGTGTCGCCTCCTTGTATGCTGTTGAAGGGATTACTCCATCTCAGAGATGAAACCAAACAGGTCTGAGATACTTGGCTCCCAACCCTTTTTTGGCCCCACTTTTAAAGTCGTAAACATTAATCGTCCACTTTTGTGGTCATAGTTATACTTTTAAAATGTATTAAGAAAATGCATGTCATTTTCTTAAGTGACAGAAAGCTACTGAGAATTTGTTAATATTTTAAAGTGGGTTCATATTTTATTTATCCTTAAAGCAATGGTTTTTTACCTGGGAGAGGCAGGGGCTTCAATGTCTGGAGACATCTTTGGTTGTCACAGCTGGGGGTGGGTTGCTGCTGGCATCTCATGGGTAGGGACCAGGGATGCTCCTAAATACCCTACAGTGCACAGGAGAGCCTCACACAACAAAGAATCATGCAGCCCCAAATATCAGCAGTGCTGAGGTGAGAAACCCTGCCTAGAGCATCTGTAGAGAAGATGAGGTGTTTATAGGTGAACCAGGCAAAAACAGTAATAACAGTTAATATTTTTTGAACACGTACGAAGAGCCAGGTATGAGGCCAAATGCTTTAACTGACTGAATCTCTCAAGAACTCTGAGTAGATATTATTAGTATCCTCATTTTACATACGAAGAAACCAAGGCACAGAGAGGTTAAGAAACTCGCTGGAGGTACACAGTTGGTTAGTGGCAGAGTCAGGGTTTGAACCCAAGCCCCTGGGGTCCAGGCCTGCATTTGTCACTATCACACCATACAGGCCTGATCCTCTCCCATGTACAGGCAAGGCTTGGCATTCCTTGGCATTTCCAGAACCTTTATGCTAACCATGTAAAACTCTGGGGTCCAAAACCTATAGCTTGGGAATTGTGGTATAGCTGAGAAAACACGCACTTGGAGTCTGGTAGACCTGGCTTTGAATCTTGGCTTTTCCTAGCTGCATGACCTTGAGAGAGTAATTTATCTCTCCAAACCTATGTTTTCCTGTCTGCAAAATGGGGCTGTTCCTTGGCTCAGTGTTATAGATTGTCATGGGACTTTAAAGGAGACAGAGCTCTAGAGTGAAACGTTCTTGGGTTCAAGTCCAGCCTTCCTTGCTGTGGGACCTTGGGCTAGCTGCTACTTCTCTGAGCTTCAGTTTCTTCTTCTGCAAAATGCGAATGCCAGTCCCTGCCCCGCCCACTGGAGTGGATCAGAGAGTGGCTCCGGGGTGGGAGGATGGAGGCGGGGTGTTTGGGTGTGTGTTTGCAGGGTTCGGTGGGGGACAGTGTTCATCTGGATACTTGCCCTTGCCTGTCACTGCCCCGAGCCCTCTTCACCTGGCATTCAGCCTCAAGCACGCCCATTCCCCTTAGGCTCAGAGGCTGCGGCCGCAGGGCTCTGTGCTGGCCAGTGTATCTTGAAGGTCAACGGCAACAACGTGATGAATGATGGTGCCCCAGAAGTCCTGGAGCACTTCCAGGCATTCCGGAACCGCCGAGAGGAGGCCCTGGTGAGTCCCCCAGCAGCCAAGGGTATCGGGGAGGCCCTGCTCAGTGGGGTGGGGGCAAAGGTCACCCTCCTTCCTCTGTGGGAAAGCCTGAAGGTGGCACCCTAGTGTTTTGGGTGGGGCGGAGCTGCCTACCTGGCAGGACAAAGCTTGGCTTGGGCCCTGTGCCACTTGTGCCTCCCTAAACCGGAGGAGTTAGGCTGTGATACCTCATGGCCTCGGTTCTCAAAGCTGTGAAATGAGTGTGACAGGGCCCTCTTTTCTTACTGTGTAGGCACACTGGGGAAATGGTCATGTCGATGGTAAAAATTGCTGGGGAAATGGTCATGTTGATGGTAAAATTTGCTGTTATACTTAGGTTGGGGGCAGGGTTCTGTGGAGGGCGACACTCATTCATTGGTTCATTTAATGTTTATTGAGCACCTGCTATATGCCTGACACATTTCTGTCCTGGGGCCACAGGAGAGACAAGTTTTTTGCTCCCATGGATCTGACTTACATTTTTCAAAATCCCCAGCTTTGTGGGGCTGTGTGTGACCAGAGGTCTCTCAGGAAGGTTCCAGAACAAAGTCTTAGAAGCCTTTCTAAAGATGTTGTTACCTACAGGCTAAAATCCTGAGCTTTGGGGTCGGAGAACAGTTTGCCCTTTGGCCCTGTCCCTTCTTCTTTGGGCTCCTGGTGTCGCGGTCACTCCTCTTACTCATTCTGCTGCCCTCACAGGGCCTGTACCAGTGGGTCTACCACACCCACGAGGATGCCCAGGAGGCCCGAGCCAGCCAGGAGGCGCCCGGCGAGGACCCCAGTGGTGAGGGGACTCGGGAGGAAGACCAGCCTGACTCAGGTAATGGGACAGGTAGGCTGTGTGACAGAGACTCCCGTGGGGACTGGGTCCTCTTCTGCCTACACTCCGTTCCGATCCCATCCAGTCTCTCTGGGTGCCATCATTTCTGTATCAGTTTCCCATTGTTGCTGTAACAAAGAGCCACAAACCCGGTGGCTTAAAACGACGCGTTTATTCTCTTACCGTTCTGGAGGTCAGAAGTCTCAGATGAGTCCACTGATCTGGAATCGGCGTGTCAGCAGGGCTGCATTCCTTTCTGGGGCCCTAGGGGAGAACCATTTACTTGCCTGTTTCAGCTTCTAGAAGCTACCTGCATTCCTTGGCTCGCGGCCTCTTTCCTCCATCGGCAGAGCCAGCAATGTCGGCCTGAGTCCTTCTCACCTAGCCATCTCTCTAACAATTCTGCCTCCATCTTCTCCATTTAAAGACCCTGTGACTATATCGAGTTCACTTGGGTCATCCAGGATAATCCGACTGTAAAGTCATCTGATTAGAACCTTAATTCCATCTGTGACTCCCCGTCCGCAATTTCCCCTTGCTGTGTTACAGAGTCTGGGGATGAGGATGTGGGCGTGTTTCAGGGACCATCATTCTGCCCACCATGAGCTCCCACGTTAATCTCTGTAGTGCAGCCTCAGCCCTGAAATTCAGACCTGTCTTTCTACCTGCCACTGTCCAGATGTCCAAGGCATCGCAGACTTCATGGCCAAATTCAACTTCTGACCTTTCCCTGACACCTGCTCCTCCCCTCGGCGGCCCATCTCCATCCTTCCGGATTCCGGACCTCAGCATCCTCCTTGACTATTCTCTTTCTCCTCTCCTCCTCTACCTCGATGCGAGCAGCACACCTTGTTACCTCTGTCCTCCTCATGCGTCAGAGTCTGACCACTTCTCACCACCTCCAGCACGGCTTGCTCCAAGCCACCATCATTTCTCACCAGGACTGTTGCAGTAGCCTGCCCACTCTTCTCTCTGTCCTTCCTTACTTCTCCTCAAAAAATAGAGCAAAACCTCCCAGTGGGTCCCAGGGGTCTGGTCTTCCATCCCCGCCTGGCTCTCCACCCTTCCCTCTCATCACCTTCCCACTTGCCCTCTCTGCTCCATCTGTTCCAGCCTCTTGTCCTTAAATACCAAGTGGACTCCTGCCCAGCACCTTTGCTCTTGCCGTTCCCTCTGCCTGGAAGGCTCCCCTCCAGAGTCCTTCTTATTACCTCATGCTCCTCGGCTCAGTTCTCTGCTCAAATATCACCTCTTCCGAGAGGCCACCCTTGGTGCCCTAAGTAAGCCCTTCTGTCCAGTGTCCCCTTGTCCTGTTTTATTTTACTTCACGCATGTATTAGTTAACGTATATCATCCATTGCCTGCTCCGTTTCTTAGATACATCACTATATAGCTCTGTGGCCTCTGAGATGTCACTTACCCTCTCTGAGCCCAGGTTAGTCAGCACTGAGACTGGGCTACGTGAAAACATTGATGCAGGAAACTAAAGCATCCGAATAGGGTCGTGCAGGCTTCGGGCCTGGCTCAGTCCAGCGCTTCCCATAGACTCATGAGGAGCCTCTTCATCTCTAGTTCTCAGCCCTGCTCCTTCTGTCTCAGTTTCCCTGTTACGTGGTGTTTCTTTCCCACAGCTGCAGCTTGGAATCCAGTTGAAAAAGAGAATGTCGTCTTCTCTGTGTAGATCCAACAAAAGTCCCAGATTTGACTCACATCGGCCCCGCTGGGGTCACATAGTCATCCCCAAACCAATCACTGTAAACAGGGGAAATCAAGTCTGTGCCTCTGGGGGAGGGTATGGGTGCGTGATCTCCTCTTCTGAGCCACTAAGACTGGGAATGGGGCACAAGGGTTGATTTCTAGAGGGAAAATCTAGGACGAGGGGTAAACAGTAGTGTGGTGGCAAAAATGGATAGAGCTGCAGCACAAGCTCCAGTTGCCCAGCTGTCTAGTGGGCGCTGTCCATGGTGCTCAGTCAGGGGGCTGGCTGGCTGTTGGGTAGAGCCCCGTCTTCAGGAATGGCTGTCCTTTTGTCTTTCAGCCTTCCCCCTGCTGTCCCTGGGTCCTCAGCTGAGCCTGCATGAGGACAGCCCTGTGGTCAGCCTAACTGTGGACAACGTGCACCTGGAACACGGCGTGGTGTACGAGTACGTGAGCACAGCAGGTGTCAAGTGTCACGTGCTGGAGAAGATCGTGGAGCCCCGCGGCTGCTTCGGCCTCACAGCCAAGGTCTTGCTGGACACTGCCCTGTCCTGGCGGGTAGAGGAGCCTGATTTCCATTTCCTCAGAGTTAGCCTGGAGCCCTGAATTCTAGTCCCTGCCCCACCACTCGGTAGCCATGGGACTTGTGAGGGTTATTGATCTCTTTAGCCTTGACTTACTCATCAGCACAATGGGCCAGTAACAGACCTGACCTCACAGGGATATTATAAGGAGTCACTGCAGATAAACCGCTTGAGGCCCTCCCTGCCACATCATGAATGCTCAGGAGCCATCACTGTTTCTGCAGATCCTCGAGGCCTTTGCTGCCGATGACGGTGTCTTCGTGCAGAATTGTGGGCGGCTCATGGCGCTGAACAACAACATCAAGACCATGTCCCATTATGAATTTCGTAATATCTGCGACACCAAGCTGGAGAGCATCAGCCAGAGGATTGTCTGCTACCAGGAGGTACCTATCTACCCTACAGGGTCTCCACCTGGGGTGTTTGGGTTGTAAACGTCAAAACCCACCCTGATCTAGCATAAACGAACAGGAGAATTTTCGGTTTATATTACTGAAAGTCCAGAGGTGAACTTCAGGCATGGTTGTATCCAGACATTCAGACGATACCGTTGTCACAAGAACGTGACCTCTCTCCTTCTCTTGACTTCCTGCGTTCGCTTCACTCTCAGGCAGGCCCTTCTCATGTAACAAAACGGTCCCCAGTAGCTCTAACATTAGCAACCCCAGTAGAAGAGGAGTTTGATGAGAGCTTTTATTGGCTTGGTTTAAGTACCTTGCTTGAGCCTGTACCAGTCAGTCACTGCAGGGGTGGGGAGGGATAAGCCTCCTGGACTGTGGGTCGGGGAGAGACAGTTCCTCAAGGACAGCTTATGTGTGCAGCCGAAATGGAGAAGCGAGTGTGGGTAGGTACTCAGGCCTTGGACTTCTCCAGGCTTTCCCTGAAATCTGGATTCAGTAAAGGGCAGTGCAGGGGAATCCACTTTTCCATTTGGCGCTATTGGCATTTTGTCCAATTTGGAACGTCTGGCCTAGGCCAGGATGGAGTGGTTGCTGGGGGTGGGCCAGAATTCCCAGAGCCCTGACTCATGACCTCACGCCCCTGACCTTTCTCAGTTTGCAGCCCAGTTGAAGAGCAGGGTCAGCCCACCCTTCAAACAAGCACCCCTGGAACCCCATCCACTGTGCGGCCTGGACTTCTGCCCCACCAACTGCCACATCAACCTCATGGAAGTGTCCTACCCCAAGACCACTCCCTCGGTTGGCAGGTCCTTCAGTATTCGCTTCGGTCGTAAACCCTCCCTCATCGGCCTCGACCCAGAGCAAGGTAACTGTGTGTGTTAGAAATTGTGTTTGAATTTCACAACAGATACTTATACTGAAACATGTCTGGAGGCCAGTGGTCTAGAGCTGGAAAGGCAGCTCCATGTCATCAGGGATCTGGGCTCCTTCTGTCTTTCTGTACCATCATCTCTAGATGTGGCTTTCGTCTTGAAGGATACCTCGTGGTGTAGAATAGCTGCTAGAGTACCAGTCATCATGTCTGCATTCCAGGCAGGAAAAGGATCACAGTAGTTAAAAGCATCTTAGCACTAAACTGAAACTTTCTTCTTGAAGTAATCTAGTGGGTTAAAAAGAATACTTAAAAATTTCTCATTCATTGGGATCCTAGAAATGGGGGTTGTGGGAGTCTGGGCACTATTTCCAAGTGAGCTCTCCCTCTTTCCATGTAGGCCACCTGAACCCTATGTCCTACACCCAGCACTCCATCACCACCATGGCTGCCCCATCCTGGAAGTGCCTGCCTGCTATGGATGGGGACCTCCAATGCCAGGGTCTCCATGACAGCAGCTTTGGGTCAGCCAATGGGGCTCTGGGACTGGAGGACCGGGGCCTGAGCTTCCTCCTCAAGCAAGAGGACCGTGAGATCCAGGATGCCTACCTGCAGCTCTTTACCAAACTGGACGTGGCCCTGAAGGAGATGAAGCAGTATGTCACTCAGATCAACAGGTCAGCCCCAACTCCCCGAGGGAATGGGAGGGAAGTGTCAGAGTCAGGATTCTTTGTAACGGAGGCTGTCCGGTATCCCACAGGCTGTTTAGTGGTACCCCCTAGTCTCACTAGATGCCAGTTGCATCCCTGTTCCCCAGTTGTGACAATCAAAAATATCTTCAGACATTGCCAAATGCCCCCTTGGTGGTGGTGGGGGTCGGTGTTTGGCAAAATCACCCCTGATTGAGAACCATTTTACTCAGTGAAATGATGGACATTGGCAGTAGTCATCAGTAGAGGCGAAAACTATTAGGTGAAAGGTTTGGGGGAACTTTATAATTTTAACATTGCAGAAAGAGAGCCAGCTGGACATGATGTCTTTTTCGGTGTAGTGCAGCAGGGACACACAGCACCACCTACAAAGTGTTCTCGCCAGCAGAAGTTGAACCATTCTCTAATCAAAGCTTTGGGTCTCACTGCTTGGCTGTAGGATGTGGAGGATAGAGGATGGTGACATGGCACCTTGGGGACACAGTTGGCCAAATCCAGAGGGCGGGCGATTCTAGATGACAAATGACCTGGTTTCTTTAAAAAATAAATGATGGCGGTGGGTGGGGAGCAGGTGCAGGGAGGAGGAAGATGTGTTAGAGGAGACACTTGAGAGGCGTAGCAAGCAAGCGCAGCATCTGGACCTGGTCAGGGTTCTGTGTCTCACACACCATCTGTGACAAGACACTTTCGAGACCATCAGGGACATTTGAACATGGACTGGGTACTAGACTGTATTAAGAATTATTAAATTTGCCAAGTCTCGTAATAGCAGTCTGATTAAGGTTCAAACAGTGTTTCTCAGCCTTGACACTGTGGACGTTGGGCTGGATGATTCTTTGTCGTTGGGAGGCAGGGTGGCCGTCCTATGCACTGTGGGATATTTACCAGCATCTCTGTTGTCTACACTCCCTGGTTGCCGGGAGTCCCCTACCCTCACCCCGCTTCGGTGGCGACAACTAAAAATGCCTGTGGCAGCTGGTAAATATTCCCCCTCAGGAAACATGCTAAATTGCTACTTCTTTCCTTGGTGGAGTAGGTGGGAGGCAAAATCACCCCCCAGTTGAAAACTGTTGCTTTAAAAGAAAGTCCTTATGTGCTAGAGACACATAGGGAAGTGGTTACAGGGTAAATTTACGATTTCTTAGATATGTTTTTAAATACTCCAGAAAAGTAAGCAGCAACAGGAAAGATTGAGAAAACAAAGGTGGACCCCGAGTTGCCATTGTTGAAGCTACCTACTGGGTACCTAGGGTTCTTCATACTGTTCTTTCCGCTTTTGTGTATGATGGAAATTGTTCATGATTAAAACTCACTCACTCTCTCTCTCGGCAAGTCATTTAAACTTCTCTGAGCCTCAATTTTTTTCATCTGTACAGTGGTGCTGATCATAATACTGACCTCACTGAGATGTAGTAGGATTATATTAACCAAGGTGTTTTGACCACTTACAAGGCATCAGATACTCTTCTAAGCACTTTACGTATTTTTAACTCCCTTACTCTTTATAGTAGCCTAAGACATAGATACTGTATCACTCCATTTTACAGATGAGAAAACATTCTTAGAGAGGTTAAATAATTTGTCGTACGTCTCTAAATTAGGAAATGGGAGCATTGGGTTTAGAATCTAGGGTTTGTCTTAAACACCTGTGTGCTTGACCATTATACTCTGTGCCACGGTTTAACAAACTGGCGTATGGGGCAAAATTCAGCCCGCTGTCTTTTCTTTTTAAATAAAGTTTTATTGGAACACAGCCATATCCGTTCCTTTATATACTGTCTGTGGCACTTTTACAGGAGTGTGGCAAAGTTGAGTAGTTGTAACTGAGAGCATATGGCCTACGAAGCTGAAAAGATGTGCTCTCTGAGCCTTTACAGACAGTTTCCTGGCCGTGTTCTATGCCCTCGAACCTTGTGTAGCTCGTCCATAAAATAAAGAACCTCTCTATCTCATGCCCCCTTCAGAAGGGACAGTGTATGTGTACCTGCATTGTTGCTGGTGGTATTTTCAGGGAAGGGACATAAAGCATTTGGTGGTTCCTTCTGCTTAGGGTCAAAAGTGAAGCTTGAGGTCAGGGCCCTGCCAGGGGCCTCCATGGAGGCCATCGAAGCCACAGGCCTGTGCCTGTAAGTTCAGAGTCTTTGCTCCCACAGGCTGCTGTCCACCATCACGGAGCCCACCTCAGGTGGGTCCTGCGATCCACCCTTATCTGAGGAGGCCTCGTCCTCCCCACTGGTCAGTGAAGAGAGCGAGATGGACAGGACCGACCATGGGGGCATCAAGAAAGTGTGCTTCAAGGTGTCTGAGGAGGATCAGGAAGACTCGGGTCATGACACCATGAGCTACCGTGACTCCTACAGGTGGGTTAGTCCCGGGCGTCATGTGGGGTTTGACATGGATGGCTGGTGGGACAGTGGAGGCCGCTGACCTGTGGAAGAGTCAGAATTAGTGGGAAATTTCCCAGGAAGCAGTGGCTAGGGGCCGTCGCTAGACCATGTGGTTCCGGGGGTTATCTAAGGCCCCAAAGCACATCCCAGCTCTCCCCCTCGGCTCTCCTACCCCAAGGCTAATGACTCAGGGTCTGTCCCCTTGTAGACGCCCATCTGTTCCACTCCAGTTCCACTCTGCACATGCTGACGGAATGTGGTCAAAGAAAAAGTCACGCTCTGTGGTGTCTTAAAACTCAACGCAAGACACGGTTTCAGCAACATTGTTTTTACTTGTTCCAAGGAGGAAGACAATGGTTTCATGCCTCCTAACTCTGAGTGGATCTGAACTGTTTTTCTATTGGTTCAGCTAATTATAACAAGATCAGCGAAGTCCTAATTAGTGAGTTAAATGGACTAAAAACTCAGTTTTCTGCAATACACCTTATAGTGGGTACATGGAATTTCTTACCACAAATCAACAAGCACTGTGGTTATGCAGCATATGATCGTTGTGTGAGAGTCTTGGGCGTTTCAGTTGTTTGTGGGCAAGATACAGAACTGGTAGAAGAGAGAAAAGCCTTCCCCCCAGTCCTCCCGTCATTAAGGGGTCTGACTGGTCCACGTTTCCAGCTTGGTGTCCGTGCGACGAGATGTTCGGCGTAACTGGGTGGTGTCTGTTCTCAGAGCCTTGTGTCCATAATCTAAGACTTCTCCATCTCTCTAGATGTCCATTTGTACATTTTGGGGTCCTCCAATTTTTTCTTTAACTGTCAAAAAAGTGAAGGAAAGAATTTCACGATTGTAGCTTTTGACTCCTGTACCTTCTGAGTTCCCGGGACACCAGCGAAGCAAACACAGTCCCTGTCTACATGACAGTTTCAGCCAGGCTGGAGAGACAGAACACAGAGCCGTGTGGTCAAATGTGGCATGTATGGGGTGTCAAGTAACAAGGCTGTCCCGTGAAGGGAGTGACAGGAGTTTACACCCAAATGAAAGCAATTCACTGTCCTCTTACCGTTTCTGCGTTTCTGTGCTGGGGCCTAGGAATGTTTATCCACTGTCAGACAGAGAAAACCAGCCAGGACAATCTTCCCTGTCCCTGCCACTGGCTGTCGGCCTGCAGTGCGTCCTTTCTGGGCCGGTTGTCCACCCAAGGAGTCAGGGTTTTGTCTATACTCCGGGAAGTGGGTTCCGGCTGTCAGAGCCAGAGGGTGTGAGCTGTGCGTTTCTGTGCTGGGGCCTAGGAATGTTTATCCACTGTCAGACAGAGAAAACCAGCCAGGACAATCTTCCCTGTCCCTGCCACTGGCTGTCGGCCTGCAGTGCGTCCTTTCTGGGCCGGTTGTCCACCCAAGGAGTCAGGGTTTTGTCTATACTCCGGGAAGTGGGTTCCGGCTGTCAGAGCTAGAGGGTGACTCCTTTCTTCCTCTCTGCCCCTTTGCAGTGAGTGTAACAGTAATCGGGACTCCGTCCTGTCCTGCACCAGCATGAGAAGTAACAGCTCCTACCTGGGCAGTGACGAGATGGGGTCTGGTGAGTGCGGGTGCTCTGCTCGAGGGGGCAGGGGATCTCCCTCCCTCGCAAGAGTTCGTTTTGTTCATTTTTGTTTTTTTTATACTTTGTTATATTATTTTGTATCATCTTGCATAGTATGGTAGTATCTTTCCTTTTATTCGCTCACTCAGCATCTTTTACTGAGCACCTCTTTTGTGCTGGAACCAAAGCAGTGTCTGAAATAAAGATCTGGCCCTTGTGGAGCTGACGTTCTCCGTGAAACAGCGTGGACGGGAACAGATAAAAACGTGCACGATGCAATTACAGATTGTGACGAGTGCTCTGAAATCACTAAAATAGGGTGAATTGGTAGTTTCCATAAAAATTACACATGTTCAGACCCAAAATTCAAATGACACAGAAAAGTTTAAAAGAAGTACGTGAAAATATGTCAGAACTTCATCCTCTCCCTGAGAAATGACCATCAGTTACATTTGGAGATCATTGGTGAACACATAATTTTGCACAGATGGACATGTGGGTGGATGGCTGGATGGAGAGACAGATATAAATAATATTCTATAAATTAGATTATACTCTGAAAGACTGACTTTTTTTTTTAGTTTCATTGATTTCAGCCTTTAAATTTTTCATTTTGTGAATAGGTCAGCCATCCACACGGTTCATAATTCAAAAGGCATGAGATACGGAGGGTGACAGACCCCCTCCCACCCCCGTACCCCAGCCTCCCAGTTCCCAAGCGCCCACTGCCACTACTGTCTTGTGTGTCCTTCCGGAGGTAGTCTGTGCATGAAATTTTAATTTTAATTATACTGCAATTTAACAGAAGCTCAAGTAAAATTTAAGATATCGCTGAACTTTAGATAAATATTTCATCACGTAAGATATTCTGCTGCAAAAACTACCCCCGGGGAGGTGTTTGGGAAGGACCTGACGTGTGGCCGCTGGTTTAACTGAAGCCCCTGGGGGATGGATCAGGAGACTTGGGTCCAGTTCCTTGTCTCTGGCTCTCAGCCTCCTCACTGGCAGAATGGAAATAATAACAAAGACTTATAATTGTGTAGGGCTTTAGTTCATTTGGCCCACTTTGCAGATAAAGAAACTGCATCTCAGAGAGATCAAGAGATTTGCCCAGTGTCACAAAGCCAGAATCTGGGTCTGTGAGACTCCAGATCCACTGTGGGTTTTGGTGCTCTGTAGCCACATTGATTTCTTGGAAAAAAGGTTGGGAAGGTGTGAGGCGGGGCAGGAATAGTTAGTCGATGGCTATGGCTTCTTCCTTCTGCCAGGAGATGAGCTGCCCTGTGACATGCGGATCCCATCAGACAAGCAGGACAAGCTGCACGGGTGCCTGGAACATCTCTTTAACCAGGTAGGACCTTTGTTCCTGCCCCTGGCCTGACCTTGGGTTCCTCCCATCACCTCTGGTAAGAACCCATAAGCCAGGAGCCAGGGCAGAGGGCTCTGGGTCATGGGTCCCCACAACCTGGAAGGCCACGGGGGCCCCACTAACCTAGAGCTTTCTGCCGCTCAGGTGGACTCCATCCACACGCTCCTCAAGGGTCCGGTCATGAGCAGGGCTTTCGAAGAGACCAGGCATTTCCCCATGGACCACAGCTTGCAAGGTGAGCACATCGGAGTCCCTTGGCAGGGCTAGGGGTGACATCCCTCACCCAACAAGGAGCCAGCCTGTGATGGGGAATGTGTGCTGGGTCAGGGGCAGGACACCTGGTCACTGTATGCTGTATGTCCCGGCAAGCCTAAAACAGTTCCTGTTTGGCTCTTTACAGAAAAAGTTTGTGGACCCTGGGCTGGTCCCTGAGGCTCTCTGGGCTCCCGTCTGCCCATTTGTAACAGGAGAGGGAAGGACTGGAATACAGTTTGCAAACCTCAGACACCCACATCCCCCCTTCATCATTTTTAGCCATATTCACAGGATCTACTTATATCTTTACATTTTTTAAAACCATATTCATTTGCTGCTTGTATTATTATTGACATAACGTTTTTGAAAAAGTATCTCCCTTTTAAAAATTTAATTTTGAAAGGAACTTACTAAACTTTCTTTAGATGGAAAATCAGTACAACATGCCATAAGATAGTGATGACCATGATAAACCCCATGGAAACAGCCACAGAATGTCCCTGTGCTGTAGTCAGGTCCTGCTCCCTGCCTGCCCAGAGCGCTTCGTTCTTTATTCACGAGAGGGGTCGGTGAGTTAAAGTGTTAGGATTTACCAGCACCAAATCGAGACTTTCCTGAAATGATTTGAGAGAGAAGGAATTGACATGTGTTCTTCCACCTACCTTTCCTCCCACCTACCCATCCACCCACCACCCACCCACCTGCCCATTCATCGGTCCACCTGCTCATTCGTCCATCGACCCAGTAAATAATTCCTAGGAAAGAGCCTGTACCAGGCCTTGTGCTGGCCATCGAGGACCTTCAGATGAGTGTGACACTGCCCCTGACCTCAAGGAACTCCCAGTTGGACGTAGGAGACAGGAAAAGAAACAGGCAGTTACTCCTGAGTCAGGGTGGGAAGTGGTGAGCAGTGGCCCCCGCTGCTGTCTCAAGGCCTTCTCTCCCAGGGATGGGCCTCAGAAGGCAGAAACATCAAATCTAGAGGAACCAAAACCGTAAATATCTCAGAAACCTGGGACCTTGGAGCAGGGACGAGGCCAAAGGAACAAGGGCTTGTGTCTGCCTGGCCTTCGAATGGTGCTGCTGGGGTCAGGTTCAAGTTCCAGCTCCGTCAGTACCCAGCTATGTGACTTTAGGCAAGACACCGTTCCACTTTGTGCCTGGGCTCTCTTCTCTGTATAAGGAAAAGGTTAGAAGTCAGTTCAAGTTCCAGCTCCGTCAGTACCCAGCTATGTGTGACTTTAGGCAAGACACTGTTCCACTTTGTGCCTGGGCTCTCTTCTCTGTATAGGGAAAAGGTTAGAAGTCACATGCCAGCTCGGAACGGTGTGGCTGCAAGGAGGGAGTATCTGAGAATCCTTCTGTGTGATTACATCCAGGCTTAGGAGAAAAGAATGCAGTGATTGATTTGTGATGTCTGCCCTCGAATGGTTTCAGCTGTGCTGAGTCCGCCTCAGACTAGCAAGGAGGAGAGCTGAGATCGATGAGTGATGTCTGCTATGGGTGTGGTGCCATACATCAGTAGCACACTTACCATATATTTGCCCTCCCCGGACCAGACGATACCCAACAGTCCTGCCGGGATCCTCGATCGAGGATTCCGAGCTTTGGGCTCTGGTGATGGCATGCAAGCCTCTGTGCTGCCTTTCTCTCAAGCTGCCTCCGTCCCTTTCCTGCCCCAGAGTTCAAACAGAAAGAAGAGTGTACAATGCGTGGCCGGAGCTTGATCCAGATCAGCATTCAGGAGGACCCCTGGAACCTCCCCAACTCCATCAAGACCCTGGTGGACAACATTCAGAGATACGTGGAAGGTCAGTCAGGCAGAGAAGGCTGTAACGGCTCGCCCTGTCCAGAGGGAGGATGACAAGGGCTCGGGCCCCTTTCTCAGCTGAGTATCCAGCCCTGGGTCGGGCCTTGGGACTATACACATTTGATCAAGGAACTGCAGATTTGTGGTGCCTGGGGCATCCTTGCAGAGTCAGGAGGCTGAGAAGGCTGAACTTGTTCCTTCTTAGTTTCTGAAATTGTGGCTTTAATTCAATTCCTTTTGTTTATTATCAAGGTCACAGGCTGGGGGCCTCCTGATCAGAGTTAGGTCCACAGATAGATTTTGATGCCATAGCATAAACATATGAATCGGCCGCCAATGTTTAATCCAAGATCTCACATAAAAATCTAGATTTCTGGCTACTCTGGGCAGTCAGGAGATCTGGCACTCACACGCCTGCACGGCCCCAGAGTCATACTCGCCTGGAGATGAGTGGCAGCTTCCGTCTTGGATGGAAGAGTGGTGCCGTCCGGTTCATCGCAGTCCCCACCACTCCCCGCGTCCTGGTGTCCGCCTCACGCGTCTTACATTACCTGCCTGGCCCTTGGCAGCATTTGCGTCTGGGACTCCTGGGTTAGAAGGACTCCAGACCAGGGAGACTTTGACTAGGACAACAGGACGTGCAAGGCCTCGGAGCCATTCCCCCAGGAACAGCAAGCAGCCTCTAAGTTAGGAGTCTGTGTCGGCCCTGAGCTGCCCCGTTTTCCAAAACTAATTGGTTAAGAACACGGACCCTGGAGCCAGATTGTCAGTGCTCGACCTGTATGTGGGCACACGCATGTAAAAGTGCGCCCACACGTGTGCAAGGAATGGGCTGGGGGCTCTGGCCCAGGAGTTGGAGGGGCTGGTTTTAGTCTCTGTTTGGCAGGTACATGCAAATAGTTGGGGTGCAGTTAACAGTTGGGGTTCCCTTCTCCTGAAATTCAGGGAATTTCTGGAATTTACCCAATATCCAATCAGAATTTCTTTAGTGCAACCATATGTACCCAGAGCTTCACTACAGAGGGTTCAGAGCTCGGGCTGTGGGAGGGCCCAGCTCTGCTCGAAGCTCCTGCCAACTCCTCTCTTCCTATTCTCCTTTCTCCACCCCTCTTCTTCCAGATGGGAAGAACCAGCTGCTCCTGGCCTTGCTGAAATGCACAGGTGAGGGCTTGGAAGCAGCAACCATCTGTGGTTGGCACACACCCAGGTGTACTCAGGAGAGGCTGTCCTGCCAGGGGATGCTCATGACCGCAGCCCAGGGAAGGCCTCTTCTGCCGGCTGAGGTTGACTTTCCCGTGGTCCTCAGGCCCTGCACAGGGGGAAGTAACCCCTCCC